CAAAACAAACTTTGCATTCGAAGACACGCCATGCATATTCTACGAATGTAAGGAAAGGAACAGGCTCAATTTTTCGTTGTTCATAACAGTCTCCTACAAGTTTCTTTCAACAAAATCCCCTCGGGACAGATTGGCGCTATTTTTTGTCGGAAAAATATTCAAACATTTCCACTTTCTTCGAAATTTTCGTTGTAAACAAGATGGCGGATGATGTTTTGGCAGAGAAAGTGTTCAATTATATCTGCGGTAGTGGCGGTTTTGTTGAATTATATGTTCTTTTAAAACATTCCTCGCCCTTGGGAAGTAGGAAATCAAAGGCAAAAGCGAAAAACTGGCTAACGAGTCAACCTGATAGGCGTTTAGTCGTCGTGAAAGATTTCAGTGGCGAGATAGCAGGTGTGCGAATTGATTTAAGAAGAAAAATATGTCGGCAATATCACGACAAAGGTTCTTGTGGAAGTGCTCAGGGGAAGTGTAAGTTCTGGCATATTTGTAAAGGATTCATCGAAGAAAATTGCGATGGCAAATGCAACCGCTCGCACAACTTTTTTGACCCAGAAAACAAAGAGAAAACAAAAGAATTGGGGCTGGCTAAATATCCGAACGGGACTTTAAAACATATTGTTGCGTGGAGCCTGCCACAGGTTTGTGAGCTGTACACAAGGGGCAAATGTACGTCGGATTCATGCTTATACCCTTATCTTTGTTCTCAAGCTGTCCGAAGTTCAGCGTGTTCTTGTTCTTTGTCACACAACCTCATGGATTCTCACAACATGAAGATTCTCAAAGAGTATGATCTGTTGCCTCATCAGTCGATGTCAACAGATTTTGTTCGGTGCAATATCTTGGTTCCAAAGGAACAGCGTGTTCTTCACAAAGCTCATGATTTTTTACCAAGTGTTTGCAACACAGGTAAAAATTCCTCTAAGGAAGCGATGGGAGTCATACAAGGTACAAAAAAACAATCGCCGAAAGTGTCCGCACCATCCAAATTCGAAACTACAAAATCTCAAAATACGAAACAAAGCCCGTACAATAATTCGAAAGAATTCGATGCTGCATGCAGTATTCAAGATGGAACTGAATTTGAGACGAAGAATTGCCCGTCAAATCTTTTGCAAGAGAAGACAACCAAGTCGGGAACACCAATCTGTAAGCAAAGTGATCGTATTAACAATTTAACGAGTAATGCAGCATCACCTTCTTCTGAGATTGGGCTTCAGTTTTCAAATATTCAAACTGGAGACGATTCTAATTCGTCCTTTGACGACAACAAGCCTGCAAATAGAAACACCAAAGCCTTTGGATGTAAAGATAATAAGAAAAATTCGGTTGACGCCATGAAAGTTGGTGGTTTGAAACAGAATCCTATAAACAAAATGAAAATCGAATTGGATGGAAATGATTCGATGAAATGGGAACAAGGATCTTTCATTGACAGTTCCAGAAAGGATCCAAATATTGGCCAATCGCAAAAGAAGAAAAGCATAAATTCTGTGAATAAAGAGCAACAAACCAAGGCAAAGACTCAAGAGGTGGGAAAAAATGCTGCCTGTATGAAGGTGTTAAGTACACAACAACCGAAAAGTTTGGAGGTATCACGTGGCACTAAAGACAGTCAACGCCAACATGAATCCAACAGAGCCTCGGAAAGTGCCAATAAAGAGCGGTTTGTGGAGGCCTGGTTGTCAAGCCGCGATTTCGTTGTTGAATCTACTTTCAGTTGCACTGATCGGCACAGGCTACCAGCCTCACAAGAGGCGGAATCTGGGCGTCAACGAAAGTTGTCTGTTTCCAGTTCTTGCAGCTCTGTTCAAGACTCGCGTAAATGTTTGCCCCCCAAAAAGGCTGTTTTCGATTGCATTGTGAAAGAATACAATGGCACGGTGCCCTTTGATGTCATTTCAAAACGACAAGATTTGTGTCCTATCGGTTGTGGGGACATTGCCAAGTGGTTTGGAGCAAGATCAAAAGAAAGCTTTTTAATTAGAGAAAAGGAAGGAATTATTTACGAGGTTAGTGCCTTCTGTCGAAAGGCAAGGCTTTGTTTCCGGGAGAAGCGTTCTCAGACGGATTGTCAGTACTTCCACGTGTGCAGGGAGTACATCGCTGGCTTCTGTAGGCGTGGTATTGGATGCCGAAGAAATCACTGTTTTCAGTACGATCAAGATAAAAAGTTAATTTCCAAACTGAGGTTGGATGGTTTGACAGAAGAACAACTCCGCAATGTGTTTCAGCTTTCAATGCCTCAAGTATGTCTGGATTATAACTATTATGGACTTTGTACCAACGGTTTGTCTTGCAACCAAGTACAAATTTGCAAGGATTTTATCAAGAAGAGATGCAGGGATGAGGAAGACTGTGGTCTTCGACACGATAGCGCGTTTGCCGAAGCTCACACCATTGCAGTACTTCAAAACTATGGCATGAGAGTGATAGGAGGAAACTTTAATTCAGTGCTTCGCACACTTTTGGTATGCCAGGAGAACATTTCCAGTGGTTTGGAAGACCCCAAGGGCAAACTCACCACAAAGGGAGTGGCCACTAAAGGGAGCAAGGAAGATCAGCACATGTGTTCGAAAGTGAGCGTGGCTGCAAGTGCCACCGCTCAGTCTGCTGAGGTTAAAGTCTTCGAATGCCTTTGCAGCGAGTACGATTGCTCAGCTTCTTTTTCGATGATTTCCAAACGAACAGATTTGTTCCCGTCTGAATTTAAGGATGTAGAAGCTTGGTTTCGAAGCAAGAAAGGGAGTTTTCTCATTACAGAAGATGATCACGGAAAGATAACCCAAGTGGACGCTTTCTCTACAAAAGCACGTTTATGTCTCAGTTACAATAACTCTTATTATGGGGAGTGCAATAGAGAGAACTGTTCGTACTTGCACGACTGTAGAGAGTACATAACCGATTCCTGTAACAACGGAGCGACGTGCCCGCGGAATCATCACTTCCACGATGAAAGAGAAAGAGCTCTGTTGTCGACGATTAAGCTTGATAAGTTGACAGATGAGCAACTCAGGAAGCTAGTGCTTTCATCTACTCCCCAAATCTGTGTAGAGTACAACAACGGTTCGTGTAATCTTGGTGAGTCTTGTTCTAAAATACACATGTGTAGAGAACATTTGAAAAAGTGTTTTAGAAGGGGATATGGCTGTGACTTACTTCATGAAGAAGCCATGAACATTGAACACACCAAAGCAATTCTTGAACGTTTTCAGCTTGGACACCATAAATCAGACCTGGTAAAGAAAATTATTCTTGTTTGTGAGCAGCGCAAGAAGTCCGCATGTTCCAAAGAAAAAACTACAGGTAAGTAATGTAAAATTCTGTCAGCCCTGCGACATCTCTAGTTTTGGTTTTAACAAACATTTTCTGTGGTTCCAACGTATAATGCTAAAAACGTAGTCTACAGGGTCCACAGTTAGGTAGTTTAATGCTGCGGTTTTCGAAACCCGAGGTACAAGAAGCCTTACTTATTAAATTACTTTGTCAAACGATAAGCTTGAAAATCATGATTTTAGCGGAAAGGGAAAGGTTAGCTTTAGATATAACACAATGAAAGTGTTGTAAAGGAGGGAAGCTGCCAATGAAAGACGCAGAGCTAAGGCGGGTGTTAAAAGCTTTCTACCCTGGCCGAGGGTTTAGAAAAAGTGGATTTTCCGTGACCGTTAAGACGGAAAACCAGTCTGACCAAAGATAACAAAATAAAAATGAATGAATATAAATATAAATAAAAAGTTCTTATCATATATATAAAATTAATACTGCATGATAATGCCTCAATAGTCAGTGGAACAAATTTTAATCATTTCTGAACGAGCATCATTTTTGTCTTTTTGACTCAAGGCATTCTGACAAGACATATTCTCGTAAACAAGCCAGATGCACCCATTTGCGCAGAGTTTATTCTTAGCAAATGTACGAATGGTTCTAAGTGCACAGGCCATCACTGCTTTTTACCTTACCATTGGCAATATAGCGCGGATGCAGGTGAATGGAAGAGTTTTAATGAGAAAGACAACGAGAAGCTAGAAACACTGTATTGCGACGTGACACTTGAGGAATGTTCTGCTACAGGCATGCAAATATCATTTGAAAGGTATGTTATAGTAATTATACACTGAGAGTCTTGTCAAATTCATGTATTTTTACTCATTTACAGTTATAATAAGTGTTCAAAGTTCGGTAGACATACTTCAGCCCAAGTCTAATGTATGAGAAAAGATAAAGGAGTATGGCAAAATGCAAGGGCTAAAGACAAATGAACCAGAACATTAACATTTTATAGTATAATGCATTTTTTTAAACATGAATTACAGGTTGACATTACTATCATTTTAATATTCATGTTTTAGCTATGGATTTTTATTCTTGGACGAGATGTGTAATGTCGATATTTTCCTCGATAATAAGCTGCTGATTACACAGGAATATGTTGAAAGGCTCATACGACTACGACGCTTATCTACTGAATCTGACGTCAACTCAAGCAACCCTCTAGTTACGGAGTGGATATGGTACTAACAGGACGAAAATGGATTCTGGAGGATGTATGACCAAGACCATACTGTGAGTAAATAGTGGGAGAAATCATGATACCTCAGTTGCAAGTAGCCTTACAGTCCTTCAAGGAAAGCCGTGGGAGGGGTGAGGGTCGGTTAGGACCCACTTTCGGTTGAAGATTTAAGTGATAGCTTGTGGTGAGCTCCTCAAGGTGATTTAACCATTGTGGGATATGGAAGCTGATATAGGGGATCTGTATTGTCATTCAATTCGTTTGGGGGAATGAAGAAAGGAAATCACTTGTCCCACGGTAGACAAAAAAGGGACAAAGCTTTTGTATGTCTACGGGTTAAGTCGTTGGGTACTGATTGTGCTGAGATTCAAATGATTTCTCCAAACCAGTAAGAGATTTCAAAGAGTTTTATCGTTGAAAGGCCTGAGGTAAGTTAACTCTTTCAGTCAAATCGAAATCTTAAATATGATTGACTTAGTTTGAAAAGTATTGAAAAGTGAATGGAAACACTTTGTGACAGGTTTTATTTATATCAGGTCACATTCCCGACAGGATAAAAAGCATATTGTCAGAGTCTTCCATGGAGGTGAAATCTTTACTTTAACATTGTATATGGCTGAAGTCTCAGAGTAATCGGGCAGAACCCCCGATTAAGAGTTGGACTTGCTGGATATGTGACTGGTATATTAAGCCAACACAACAAACATTCCAAGTAATATATGGAGCGCGCTTTTTAATTTGGTGCATCAGTAAAATTCTATATAGAGTAGTGTATGGTATTTTGTCTAGACAAATAATCCTTTTTGTCCATAGGGAAACGATCTTCAAGAATCCCTAGAAAAAGCCTACTTGAACAAGAAAAACGATTTTAAATTTCGGATTGCGGACCAGGATTACATTTTAAATTTTAAACCATCAAGTGACATGAGCCAGACAAACGTCAACTACGGCACGACCAAAAAAGTGAGAAGAAGGCCTGGAAAATTTGTGTCTAAGGATGACATTTCTCAGCTTAAAAGGTATTTGTGTTGTAGAATTAATTAATGACAAGAACTTTATCCCTTGCCACCGATATGATGGGCCAGTTTCTTTATTTCAAAATAATTAGCATAAAATCTTACATCATGTTTTCACTGTGAAATTAAGGTGACCATGTAAAAGAAATATTTTGGTAAAGCTCTGTTTTTAAGATAAAAACTAGGTACCCAAGACAAGACAAGAGAAGGCAATGATTTATGTATAATTTGACTGCACGTGTGGTCATTCATTTGCATTACAATCAGTCACAAAAAGATGTCACATGATGGGCCAAGATGTGATGTCTAATCTGTTGGAAGCTGGTCATTGATACCTGAAGCGTGTTTCGTGAAAATTACCTCAAAGTGCTTTTACTGTTAAGGTAAATGGTGGATACCTGTTTGGAGCCCACAGACAGCCCCCGTGGGCTAATCTGATGGATCTACAGAGGAAAACTTATGATGCAAGCATTTAAGTGAAACATCGGGTAATAATTCTTTCACTGAATTATGCGTTGAAACATTCTTAGGAGAATAAACTGCAAAACAATGTGCTACTGCATTGGAGCAGTGTAAAAGTGCAGACTGCGGACTGACTGCGGACTACTGTTTTTAGGGCTAGAAAACAATGGGACTATTGTTCTCATGTTCACATTTGCATGGTGAAAAAAATAGTCCGCAGTCTGCGTTTTACACTGACCGCACTGCATTACCATCTTTTTCATTAGGTCTCAGAACGCAGTGAGTGTCCAGCAAAGGAGAAATACAGGAGTCACTAATACGCCAAATCATTGGTCTTCCATGCTATCCAAGAGGCAATATCAACGTGTGTCGTTATCAAGACTTTCTGCAGAATTTAAAGAAGTGGAAAAACTCTTCAAAAAGTCTATCAAACGGAGTGTGGTAATTGTTGGAATTGAACGAGTGCAAAACCCTTTCATGTGGGAAAAGTACCAAAGGTACTACTGAACAAATGCATTAAACGTAAGGCATTAAATGTTACGTCACCAATAAACGTTTCCGTCGATTATTACAACCCTAGAGGTGTGAAGAAACTCTAATTGTCCCTAAAACATAGCGAAAGACAATATCAAAACACAAGGATTACGAGGGCTTTAATTGAGTGCCCCACAGAATTTCGCTAGGGTGTGTCAGGCACGTTTTTCTAGTATGGGCTAGTTCTTAGTGATAAATAGTGTTTTTCAATCAATACATCTTTATTTGAAGGGAGATGGGGTAGTGGGGGCTTATTTAAAAGGCGCGGGCTTAATAGATTATCAATGGTATTTAATTACCCTTTTTTTTTTAAACAGCTTCTTAAAAAATTTTCCCAAAATTACGATGTACTTAATAGTTAGGTTTTTTTTATATTTGTATATGAATAATTCACATTTTATCTTGTTTTGTATTTTTAGTTTGTCGAACGTTTTTAACATGAGCCTCTGGCTCGGAAGATTATGCAAAAACTTCTTACGTCTTCGACATTAAATAAATTATTCTATTCTATTCTACCCTCATATTCTGTAACTATACCCATCTTAGTCTTATTTACGCGGGTTGCTCGAGGGTCTTTCTCACTTCCACTCGTTTCTTACAGTAAGCTCCTTTCAAGCCCTCTCTTCCCCTTCTCAAGAACACTTCAGAGGCAAAGGAATTGTTAGAGAAAGAGATCGATAGCCCACAAATTAGGTTGAATTTTATGACATTAGTGCGCGTATTTTTGTTATTGAAAAACATTCATGCGCGACCTTCAGTTGTTAATCCTGTTTTAAAGTTCTTTATTATTTTTTTATTATCCACATGACTCAATATTGAAGCGAATGATAGAATTTCAAGGCCAAAAACAAAAGTTGACTTTGATTACTGTATTTTATTCAGGAAAAAGGAAAACATGGCAGCAGCGAGGATTGGCTCTACCAAGGGACGGTTTGTCAACGAGAGGCGATTGTTTCATGGAACTAACCCTGAAATCGTAGAAGCTATCTGTAAACAGAACTTTGACTGGCGTCTTCATGGGAAGAACGCAACTGTTTACGGAGATGGAAGCTATTTTGCATTAAACTCCTCGTACAGCGATAGTTACGCTAAGGAAGATACCAAAGGGTCTAAGTTCATGTTCGTGGCCAAGGTCCTCGTTGGGCCTTACACTAAGGGCCAGTCCAGTTATCGAAGGCCACCGTCAAAGGAGCCTTCGAACCCCGCAAGTGATCTGTACGATTCCTGTGTTGATGACAGGTCATCTCCAACCATTTTCGTCGTTTTGATACTGATCAATTCTACCCGGAGTACATAATCGAGTACACCACAGCTCGAGGAGGTCATCAGCAGCCTGCGGGACCCGCGAGACCTGTGGTAAGAGCGCCAGCTCCAACGCCTAGACGGTCACCAGCAGCAAAGGGAGTGGCAACTAAAGCGCATTACAACGTTAGCGTTCGCGTGTTCAAGCACCTTATTCAGGTGTTTCTGGTACAGGCGGTTACACTTCCACATCCAATACAACGTCTGCAAATTATTATCATTCACCCATAGCAGGAGTGAGCGCATCAATCCAAAGTCAATCTCCTCCCACGGCTTCAACTTCTACTTCATACGCGTATTCTGGCGGGTCAAGCAATCATTCGGTTTCACCTTCCTTATCTCGGTCATCCAGTCCAGCCCATAAGCCCAAAAAGCACAAGGGTTCTTCTAAAAAACACAAATGCTTAGTTATGTGATTTCTTCCATTGTTTTTGCTGATTTTGTTGCTTTGAAAGAAGAAGAAAGTTTTAAAAACTAGCGTGACAAATGTTAAATTGTAACACCCAAAACTAATGCTTGAACGCAAGGTTGTAGACTAGGGAAATGTTTGGGCAGTTAATTAATTTCATACACTATGAACGTTCTAAATTAGAAGAAGCAACTAAATTTTTCTCTGAGAAGATGACCCAGAAGGGACTCAGTGTTACATATTATCTTGAAAAGCAGTTATGTATATTGTTATAAGATTAAGGTACGAAACTGAATTAACTGAAAAGTATAGGAGTGAAGGGGTAAATGTACTTTTTTTAAATGAATGTAATGCGATTAGTGAATACTTATTTATAACTGATCATATCGTAGAAATGTCACCCGTTCAAGTCCCAGCTATTTTGCTTTGACTAGGAAAGCTGATTTTTTTAATTCTGTTTAATTTTTTGCTGACGAGAGGTCGGTCACACTTTGGGGTTCGGCTCCAAAGAAAATGAGTGAGCGATCACAACTGTAAAATAGAAGGGTCAAAATAAATTCTCTTGAGGCGAAAAAGCCGCCTTGCGTGCCTTTCTAGCCTTTCCAGCCTGGCCGGGAAATCAAATGCTAATGCATGATAAGTATCGAAATAGCTGGGATTAGTCTCTGCTCGCCGGGCTTTCTTTGAGTTCGCCGCGCAGTGAGGTGAGTTTGGAGTTTCGAGCAAAACAAGAGAAAGAAATAAAGAAATAAGTAAAAAAGGAAAGAATCAGTTTCTCCAAGCACTTTTTCCACTATTACAAGATAGGGGCATTGATATTTAAAAATTTACCCGGAGCGTGCCAAAAGCCTTAAGTCAGAGTTGACTGTACTGTTCGGTTAGTGT